CACTTCCATTTTGCTTCTAGAAGTAGTTCGGTAAACAAACATACTGATAGAATATTTCTGCTTTATCTGTTGGACGAGAAACAAGGTCATCAACTGTTTCTGGGCACGTTCCACCTAAACCTGCTATAGCTTCCGCCTCCAGATCGCAGCTCCATTGCTAAAATTTATTTTTGTCTAAGGTAAACACAAGGTCAGCAAATTGCAAACTCAGTGTTCAGGGAAATGTTGCCTATATTTAACACCGGGGAAACGAAACACAAGAAGAAGTTTATCCCTTTGGCTTAAAAGACCATATCTGCATTTACGCTTATTCAACATTGCCTACAATACATGCAAAGAGCTTCATTTCTTTTGCCAAGGTTTTTATATTCATAGCAAAAATAAGTTGGAAAACAAAGTATTAGAATAACGCAAAGAAATCGAGTTCAACAAACCAGAGCTTGCATGTCCAATGCCGCTGGCAAATTATCTCCACCGGGACCATTAGGTTGCAAACCATTTTCTAAATTTCCTCTTGAAGCTCGCAGTACCGCAAGAATATCATATTCGATGGTGTACTCTTCTAAGGCGCCATTTTCACAGAAAGGATCATCGCCTAAAACGATGGTTTCATATTTGTATCACTTTCATAGATTATGACTAGTCAATGAACTACTTCACCTGAGACAAATTCTGGCAAAAAGGAGACCACCTTAAGCATTCATTTTAGTAGTACATAAGGCTTTGAACACAATTGAAATTAAGTTACCGCAGCTAAAATGAAGTGAATCTCCATGTCGAATGCTATCGTCGGCTGTCAAATCCTTTTTATGCTAATACGACCATTGAGGCCAAAGTGGGTGTACATGTTACATTGATGTTCATAGTTATTTCGCAAACATATAGAATACAATACTCTCTCTCCCAATGTATTCATTAAAAAATTAAAATCATCAAAAATTTGACACGTTTTAAAACAAATAGCATACAGTTTGTTGTTTTCAATGACCGGGACGTTTCGTGACAATAAAGGCAGTTTTTCAAAAAAGTTCCCATTCGCGG